GCCATCTGGCTAGCTTTACTTCATTATAATATTCAGACGCTGTCTGCGCGTGTGTGTGTGTGTGTGTCTTCCATTCCACAGATGCAGGCAGAGCAGAGCAGAATCCTCATTTATTAACAGCTTAATAGAGCTCCATCTGGGGCAGACCCTATGCTTGTCTTCTATCAGAGAGATTCATCACCAAATCACAGGAATTAGACTACAACTGACACCTACACCGGCTGAGGTGACCCGGCTGCACTGAGCAACTCTGTGCACACAGCGTGCACTACAGCTCTCATACGACCCCTAGCATAACCCTGAGACTCTGTGGGTCCTTCCATCCATCTTTACAGTATTGCATGTTTGAATAGGACACATTCTTACAATTTTCAAACTGAGGTAAGTTGTAAAAAAACAGAATGAGATCCTCCAAGTCGGTGCTTGGACTCTTTCAGTTTTAGTTGTCCTACTTATCCAGAGACAACCGTCGATGCCCCTTCGTAGGTCATTGCCATAAAACTCTGAGCGAGCTGACTGTGTAAAAGAAGATACACTAAACTGCATTCTTTCAGTTTCATTTAAAGTGTGATTTAGTTTGTTCAAGTGAAACTTGCCTTGATCTCTTCTTCAAAACATGATTTACAAGAATTGCTCCGTTTAGCCTATGATTTTATGTAGATTTCTTTTTTTGATTCATGCAATCAAACACGTGCTATGAGTCGCAATGTTTAATCCCCGTCCTCGTTTTCTTCCTCGTCTGCCTCCAAATGTTGCAATGGCTTATATGCATTTTATAGGTTGTATAGTTATATATATTATTTAACCTTAATTTATACTGATTCAAGTGTGTTAATTCTCCTTAATGCATAATAGAACTGGCCATCAAATGAGGATGCAGTCTAACTAGATAGCTAATATTTTTTAGGTTCTCGCAATTAACACTATAGTTGTTTTTATTTGGATAAAAAAAAGAGTGAAAAATGATTCACTGCTCTTGTGCTCAAATTTCAAATTTTGTTCCCATTTCTTTCTTCCTTTCTTTCTTGGAGGCCGTCATAGCGACATCCTTGTTCTCCCTCTCGCTATCCGTCCCTCCTTTCAGACGAGGCTGAAGTGCAAATTGGACATCTGGTGCTGTGATGTGTCTGACAATACAGCCTCCCACCCCAATCCCCCCCCCCCTCACACTGGTATACAGACACAGAAAACAGGACGGGACCGGGAGGATATAAAGACACAGAGAAAGAAGGGACGGAGAGACGACAGCGGAAAGGCAGATGTGTTAAGTAACTTTCAACAATTCAGCGTCCTTTACATTAAGCATCAAGGTACAAAAGAACCACAGGTCAATGTCAAAAGACAATAGGAGAGGACATGATAACAGGACTTAAAAGGACATGATTAAATTACTTTTTTAGCAATATATGTATATATATATATATATAATGTTACACACCACTTAAGGGCACTACTCCACCAACGTCAGCTTTCCCCCCGAGGGCTCTAGTAACGGTAGTGCCTGTTTCAGAGGTATAATCAAACAAAATCTCTTAGTGATTAGTTATCCTTTTATCAGTGTTGAGAGGTGGTGTTGTGTTTAACCATTCAAATTCAAGGTTTTGGAACAAAGATCTTGTACAGTGGGTGAAGCTGGAGACCACAGACTTGTATCTTGTGATAGATCGGTGGAAGTGGACGCATTCCTTACAGTAGATCTTCCTTTATTAAGACGCCTCGGTGCTAAGCAGCGTTATCCTTTTACTCAGTTTGTCTAGTTCAATGAAGACGTGCACAATGGGATAACACGACAATCATCCAGTCCTATTAGAAGGCAGATCCTTACAAAATTGTTATAAAATGTACAAATAAAAACCAAACCAGAAAGCTCAATAATAATTAAATCCAACAATTCTCTAAATGAGTTTTACCCCTATGCTCAACATGAGAAGCATATGCCTTTTTCTGTTGGATGGCACTCTTAAAATCCCCATGTTCAAACTTAGCAGTAGCCATCTCCACTTCTCTATCACAAAAATGAATAAAAAACCAGTTTCAATGCGAGGTTTGACTTTGCTCGGTGTTATGCCCACCTTCAGGGCCACTGTGGGTGAGTGGAGAGCACGGTCGCCCTTTGATCAGAGGGTTGGCGGTTAGCTTCTCAGCTCCATTGATTCGCATGTTGGCGTGTCCTTGGGCAAGACACATGACCCCGAGTTGCTCCAAGTGTGTGAACGGAATGGATGTAAGTTAGTGATGACTGGAAAAGCGCTACATAAGTACAGACCATTTACTATTTGCTGTTTGACATCCACCAGATGTCTATAACGGTCCTGCCCCTGTATTTAAATCACTAGGTTTTGCACCTACATTATTATACCCAGGAGGATGAAATCCCATTCAGAGCACACATATTCAATGGAGAGAGCTGTGCACCTCAGTTCAGTTTGGGGCGCGTTAGCGCGTGAAGCACAAGACCCCAAAGATTTAGCATTTGCAGAAAAATGGAGAGCAGGTTGGAAAAGTGTCGCCAAGCAGGAAGCTGCCATTGGTCCTCCAGAGGAATGGAGGAAGGAAGGGGGGGTCATTGAACGTTGGGAGGCAGTGATGATAGCATTCTAGTCCCACTGCCAGGGACCAACACATGAGTCCCGCGTCCTTGCGCCTTCTTACACGGCTCTCAGGCGGAACCGCCGCTTGCTCTCAGAGCGTCGCAGGTGGCAGGTTGATAGAGGGCATTCGGGTGTGCTGTGAAGTGAGGTTGGCCCATAACAGGCCTGCCTGCATTGGCACTTATTCATATAATCTCATTATTATTGTTATCTCTCTCATCCTGCTTGATACACAAATGAAGGAAAGGGATGATAGAAGAGACTAAAGAGACGACAAATGGCATAGACGGAGGAATTCAAGGACAAATATATCTGCATGCGAGTCGGCCAGACAGACACAGAAATATGGACGCCGGCAGACACACTGTTAAACACGCAAATACAGGGGCTGACTAAGCAGCATAACCCACTTTACCAACCAAAGGCACACAATTCACTGGCTGTATCTATTTATAATGGAGCATATTTCTTCCCAGCAAAGTACCAATGCATTTGTACTTGCAAAGATGTATGAGAGTGGTACAATATTCATTTTCTTGAACCGTCTGCGGCCTAAAAACAACAGACCGATTATACTGCTTATTACGGTAGCGCTCCGTTCCTCTCAGCCGGTTGATCTCCTGCAGCACAACTCACATAGTATCCGTTCCTATTAAACAAGCTTGTGTCAACACACTGATTGACACCGTTTCCTTTTTTGTTCTCTAAAGAAGATTCTTCTGTCAATTTATTTTTTTTTAATCACAAAAAACTATTTGCATACATCCGCTTGATGATTATTTATTTTCTCCAAATGTTTGGTCCCCCTCTGATGTCTGAGTTCAGCTGGTTTAAATGTCTGTGTTCTTTCAGGGCCCCTTTTTGCATTCGACCAAATGTTTGTTTGTACCTCCTTTTTAGATGTTAGATAGTGCCTGAGCAGGCTAAAGAAGAGAGGAGAGAAAGCTTTCACAGAAGGCTGGCTCTCAAAGGAGCTTCTGTATACCTGCATTAGAAATAGTAAAAAATGCCCAGGTAATCCCACAAACGGCTCTATCACTTCGCTTTGAACTTCAAAGAACACACGCAATTAAAAGCAACACAGCAGAGGATGCAAAAAAAAAAAACTGATTACAAAAGAACATTTGTCTCATTATCTTAAAGCATGTTGCATGTGGAGGTGCTGTGCGAGGGATTTCGAGGTGAAGTTTAGGATGCTGTATGTTTGGATATATGGGGATGAAGTTGGACGACCGCAAAAACTTCACAAGAGCATCAAAGAACTGTGGCAAAAATGCATCGACCGGATTACAAGACTGTAGCTGTTCTGTGTCGTAAACGTCCAAAAGTTTTAGTGTCTGTCCATGCCGTCACGTTGGATCCACGCAAGTTCCGCCTGCTCCAGTAACTGTAGAGTCTCGAATGTGTGGTGGAGTCCGCATGTTGCACAATCACGGAAAACAGTTGCTGATTCTCTTCCGCAAATGCTTTGTCAAGCCTTAAGCATCAATCAGAGCAACATATACAGGCGTCCCGCACTGTGTGAATCACAGGCAGGTTATCAATCTGCCTTGGGACATCAGCTTGTGGGGGACGAAGACGGGGGTGGGGGGGTTTAAAGGGGGTTCAGTCTCAGACCCATGTTCAGATATTCAATGTAATTAAGGCTCAAGTCATGCCTCAACTAAGCACACTGGTAGGAGACATGGGAGAAACCCACCGTGCTCAACTGTCTCAGTGGACCGTGACCTTTGAAGCGCTTGTAAATCTTCATCCTCATTCTAATGTGACAGAGGCCTGGGTCACAAGTTAGCCTCGGTTAAAGCCATTTACTGGCGCCGGCATGTAAAGCGTTAAAAAGAAAGTCACATTGCACCATTTGTTTGTAGGAGAAGAATGTGCAATAGATCCACGGCCACTTTTAAACACACATATTTAACATGACAACATCATGTTTGAAAAAAGCGCCACGTAAGCCACGGTTCCACCAACCACAAGGTTCCAAGAAGCCTCGGCCGGTTTTAGAGGATAACTTAACTAATAAGAATGTCTGCATTCTGCTTCTGCCTTTTCATTCACAATGCATATTAGTTTGTATATATGTCTCACGCATTGATTGACGCATATGTATTGACTGAATAAATAATAAAAAGCACCATTTAATTCACTTGGACCAGATTATTCCGGGATAATTTGTAAGCAAACATGATCTCCTCTCCTTTACACTAATACCATGACACGATGTAGCAGGTTCATGTGTGTTCAGTGCTATTTGGCCATGCTGGTATTACTACTACTACTTTTACTATACTACTATTACTTAACAACCATTGTCACATGCTTGAAAGGCCAAGTTACAAAAACTGGTCAAGACAAATCCAAATACCCAAATGGACACGGACGGCCTCAAGGAAAACCCACACGCGTTACCTCTCCGAGAGCTTCGTAGCGTTTCTGGTTCCAGCGGTGGAGATCCTCTCTGGCATTGAACACAAAGGGCTCTCCGGTTTTTACATGTCTGAGCTGGCCATCTGTGGGAGGAAGAAAGTCAGTTAAAAAAAACACATATGTACTGATAACGGATACCTGTATACGTGCAAGCATGGATGGATCCCTGCTGAAGACTGGACACAGTGGACTGGATGCACCCTCACTCAACCACTCCCTTCTGGCAGGTAAAAGGCCGGTGGATGAAGCAGCGTTCTTCTAAGTCACGACTCCAACGGCCTTCTGCATAGTCTGGCAGGCCGGCGCTGGACAGCTGGTGTGGCGAAAACCCTCTCTCTCCTTTCATCCTCCTAAAACCCTCTCCCACTCCTCCTTAACTGTGTCAATCGCTCCCCCCCCCCCTTCTTTACTAGCTCACTGCCTTCCTTTTCCACCTGAAATCCCCAAGAGCAAAGACTAAAAGAGGCGTGCAAAAGGTTCTCCGGGTGTTTTTTTTTTGAGAGACACAAAGGTGGCTTGGCACGCATATAAGACACAACACCAACTGCTCCTTGCAGCTCCTTTGAGAACGCGGTCCAGGCATCAGCCAATCACCCTAACCAGCTCAAACACACACACACACACACAAATACACTGGCAGCTCTAGCAAGGAGGACCAGGTGTGGTGAGTAAAACAGTAAGTATCAAGTATGTGGTTGTAAATTGTCGCTATTCCAACACATAATAATTGAGTGACAAACAAAAGCTTCTTGGGACAACGTTTAAAGGAATTATTATAATACCGGGAAACAACTGCAGGTTTTATTTGATAAAAAAAACAGTCATAAGACAGGAAAACGCTGTTCAGATATGTAGCTTTTTTCTTAATAAACAATTACCCTTGTGTGGCTGTGGAACCACAACGTTTATACCTTAGCAATGAGGCCATCGATCCTGCGGTTGACACAGCAACACAATAAAACACTAAACAGTGTTAAATTTAATTTTGACCTTCATGACTGCAGAATTTGTAAGAGCTAAACCACTGAAAAGTACACATACTTAACCCAAATAGCCAGGGGGCTCTCATACTTTCTCAATTATTGCACAAAGTGAAGAAACCCATCTCGGATGTAAATAAATATAATATCTTCCCAAGATAAAGGAATGCATAAGCTTTTTTTTTTCATCTCCTTCTAAATTGCAACCATATTTAACCCTCTATCAATGCGATAAATCTTACATTGCCAACCGCACTCTTTATTCCACGAACTAGCTTTCATAGTTAGATGTTAGAAAACGTCTAATCCTGCTACTACCTTTGTCATCATGTTGCATTAGAAAGCAGACAAGCACCTGAGAGGTAGAGCAGGGGACGAGTGAGTTATGATGAACCAGTGTGCTAAAAAAGTACTTTGAAGAAAATCAATTATGCATTCATGGAGGGGCGAAGATCTAAACACTACTGCCTAAGAGAAGGAAGAGACGAGCTATAATGAAATCTCACTGTGAGAAAGGCACGTGTGTGTGTGTGTGTGTGTGTGTGTGTGTGTGTCTGTGTGTGTGTGCGCGCATGAGGGAGGGAGAGATGAAGTGTGTGTGTGAATGTGAGCTGGGGGGGTGATCAGCTCCATTGCCTCCCCCAACACATCCTCTCAGAGGAATAACGTTTTCTCAACTTTTCTCCTCTTTTCTGTCATAATTAGCATTCTGTTCTCAATTTGGCCGCTTAATTAGGTGTACATAACCTTGGATTTCCAGTAATGGAAAACTGGAGGGCTAGCGAGATGAAGCCATCATCTTCAGTGATTAAGATACCTGCAAACTATTGTACACAGCCTCGTCTGTATTCACATCATTACATGGTCAAATTAACATTTTTGTTCCACCTGTCTTGTAGCCTGGGTGTAGCTATAGAAATGCCTGCAAGCTAGGGCGACTGTGAAATGCCGTCCTTCCAAAATAGGCCTGAGTGGAAATTGACGAGACGTACAGATGGGTACGGGTCTGTGTGTGTGTGTGTGTGTGTGTGTGTGTGTGTGATGCGCAGAAATAGAAATAGAGTGATACAGGGGGAAAAAAAAGATGGAGAGACTGAATGTGTTCATCCCTCCATGGGAGAATGATCTGGGACTTGTGGATGGGGGCGGTTGGGGGGGGGGGTAAGTCTCTGCGTCTCTGTTCTTAGGCACAGCGAGGTTATGCAAATGCTCCGTCAGGCGGAGGGCAAGGCTGAGTAGGTTACTGACGGGCCGTAGAGTACACAACATGTCCCCCCACTCAGCCAGCCAGACAGCCAGTAGAGAGAGAGGGAGAGGTAGAGGGAGAGAGAGAGAGAGAGAGAGAGAGAGAGAGGGAGAGGGAGGGGGCGACAGGGGAATACTAAGAGTCCTTCTCTCCACCTGGTTTGGTTGAAGCAGGCCGGGATCATTCTGAGACGTTTACACCACCTGTACAGTTTAAGTTTAAACTGTCTTCTGGCTCAAAGTGGAAGCCAGTAACTTTACAGGCCAGAGTTTCTCAACCCCGGAGCCGGGATCCATCCAGTGGGGACAGATTAATCATAGAGGGGGGGGGGTCACAGGGTGGTTTTTACTCTCAGTCACTAACAACTATTCAAGTCAAACAATTTGAGACATTTCAAGAGGGAAAATCACTCTTTGGTGGACAAGGGGTCTCTTCATTTTAAGGAGTCAAAAGCCTAAACAATTGGGAAGTACAGGTATGGACGACATTTTTGAGGTTACGCGTCCTGCCGTTTGAATCTACAACACATGACTGTGCGAAGCTCGAACTCTACTCACCTGAGCTCAAGTATTACACATGAACTGTGAGCAGTGTTGTTCTGGTCACTTGAAGTATATAGGATTTGGTGGAAAGGAAGGACTAAGATATGCACTTACATTCATTGAAGGCATATTCAAACTCCTCCAGTGTTTTGGGGAAAGTGAAAGGAGGTTCATCCTTCTTCATCAGTTCATCCAAGTCTATTCTAGACAGCAAGTCTGAGGACAAGAGAAAAGACTGAATCAGAGGTGAGCATAGAAGCTAAAGAGGCACATTCCTTAATAGCAATATGATACAAGTTTGTTTCTGCCACATTTATTCAACTGGAACTGTGTTGGGGGGCCAATGCTTTTCACATTTTCTTAATACCATCTATCATTCAACCTCATTGGAACTGCACCTTGTTTTGGTTGTTTTCGAGACTCTATGAAGGCGTTCGGGGACAGGTGGGGACAGGCGGGGACAGGCGGGGGACAAGTCAGGCGTGATAACAACGTAACCAGGGTTCCTAATCGTGTTTCATGTCGGTATCGTCCGCGTTTACCTTTGAGTGCAGTAGTTTTCTCTCTGTCCTCCTGACCAGCTATCTGGGCCATAGCGATCCACAGTACGCACAGCTCAGGTATGGCAGCAAGGTGAGAGCGCATTGGTCCTCCCCCTCCCACAGACCCCTCAGACGCATCCTGTAACACACGGGAATTGAGAAATGAGAAAACGTGCAACTACAATTCGTCCCGGTGGATGGCGTGCAGCAGATAATGTTGATTCTCTTAACACCTCTGCGGCTTTTAAAAGAACGAATCCCTTCTTAATTTACCACAGAGTAGACGGGAAATTGCCTCACAGCTTGTGGGACCTGCTAAGTGGCAGCGAGCCAAACGCAACACCTGACTGCTGGATCCTCCCCTGCTGCGCGGGCTTCGAGCTCACAGCCCGCTGTGTTAAACGGGGCGGGGACGCGCCACACGGCGGTAACACGTGACCGCGGTCTGTCTACGTCACTGCTCGGGAACGTGTAACCGTTAACTGTTAGCGGCGGAGTTCATTGTGCTTTTAAAAGCCACTCCGCGGGCGCTAAGACGTCAACGTCTGTTCTAAATACTTCGTGTTGTTTCAAAACAAACTCGCGCAACGTGAGCAGTCGTCCCCTTTTGTGGAGGCAATGCTGGCGGGCGGGCAAACGTTACAGTGAGACGTTAGTGCGTTTTTTTCACGGTCGTTTCACCGGCACAGAACACGTGTGTGGGAGGAACAGCTGTTTGCAGTAGATGCACGCGAGCATGCGTTTTGTTCGACTCACGCACCACCAGCGTACGCGACTGTCCAGTCGTTGCTGCTGCTGCTGCTGCTGCTTCCTTGAAACGTCTTAAACAGGAAGGACTCTGAGCTCCGAAGCGCGTGGAGAACGTGAAACTTCCGGGTTACCGGGGCAACGGACTGGAAGGGATATTTAAAGAGGCAGTAGCGCGGGAGCCGCGCGAGTCGAGACAGATGTTGGGATTTCTACCATCCGGCTTTGTTTACTATACATTTTTAAAGATAGTAACAGAATTTAGCAATGTAACCATGCACACGATTGTTGATAACGTAAAAGTAATGGTACTTGACATGTTTGTTTTCCATTGTATCCTACTTTATACTTTTAGTTATACTATAGTCCTACTATTTTTATGCTACTTTGTACTTTATAGTCCACTGCATTCAGCTTTACTGGATACTTGAGAGATAATCTAAATATTTTGTAAATATAAATTTTACATCTGAAGAATATGAACATTTTACACAATATCATGAATGTTTTTAGATCACGTGGTCTTTTTGTGGCGGCTAGCTTTTTATAAACTAATGAAGTCATTTTGACATTTAAAAATAACATTACTATAAAGAATAAACCCCTTACTTCTGGATTTATTAAGGATCTAACTACCTCCTCCAAAACACATATTTGTTTATATGAAATATATTATCACAAATGAATAGCAAAGTGGAAAGGAGTATGGGAAAGGACACAAAAACTGCTATGAGGATTTGTGATAAACTGAATGAAGTAAATATTAATGAAGATAGATGAAGGCAGTTGTTGAGTCCCAGGAAATATTTGCAGTCGAATGGCTGGTTATCTTCATGCAGGTGTGTCCTTTTGTCTTAAGACTACATTAAGTTCATATTTCTTACCATAGCGTTTAATGTTTTTATGATCTGTGTCTTTATATAAACCACATGATGCACTGATTGTGTTTAATTATGACCCACATTTATACTACAGTGAAGGTGATAAATATTATGTTTCACTCACATAAATGGTGTGTGTTAACCCCACAGTAAATACACTAAACGCAAGCATCATGTAAATATTGTAAAATGTACTTTAAATGTATCAATATATAATAAAGTCTAATTCCTTTGCAGATTGGTTTGAAGTTGGTGCATAGCAGCTAAAATAAAATGCAGCCCCTCATAATGGGAAAGATACCACATTATTTGTTTTACCATCATAACAAAAGAAAATAAGAGATGGATCAGGCTGGTAGGAGGACTGCTTCCCTCCCCTTTGGCATAAGGAAATCAGTTTCCTCTTGGGAGAAGCTGTTATGGTGGTTCTGAAAAAACTGTCAGAGGGAAATAGAACAGATCATAATACTTTAAAATGGAAAGAAAATAAATTTGGTTGGTTTCATGACTGACACTATACTGCCAGACTCATTGATACTGTGCCACCTTTCCACCTGTATCATGCACCTGCAACTGTACTTTATGTTGTATTTTGGGGGGGATTTACAGAAATAGCCTCCTGGTTAAACTAAAGCTGCATGCCCTACTTCTGGACGGCCTCTAGAAGTTGGAAGTGTTTCTCTGGGGACCTGAGTTACCCTGTTTCCTCAAGCAGAGCGCTGGAAAAGCACCAACTGGAGACCCAAATAAGAAACCAAGATGACATATTTTGACATTGATATCCACCGTGTTTGACATGATAAAGGAGATCCTTTTTGCTAACCTAATACTCAAAAGCATTGTAGTCATTTGACTTTGCTTTTTGTCAACCATGTAACCCAAACAAAGATACAAATTTGATTTATTCCAACTCAACTTGACAAACAAAAAAAAAGTTGCTTATTTATGGCATGAATGTAGAGGCTGCAAATAAATTGCCCTGTGTTTGGAAAAGTGGTGTCATTTTTGATTTGATATTTAGTGAAAGATGATTTATGACTGTTTTATTTGAATGCCAAATAAAACAGACTTTGGACATGACAGAAAATAAAGGGAAAGCAGGGAACAGCTTTGTTCTCCTGTAATGTTACCATGTGGGCTGACACAAAGCTGGTTGCACTCAAGTGATGAACATACAAATAAAGTCAACTTGTTTCTGCAGTAAGACTTTGCTGTGGTCTGCATAATGCACTAATACACTGAGCGTAATAAATTGAAGTGAAAATCACAATAGTCTAAATACTGTGACTGTTAATCCTGCATGAATACTGCATGATGAGCTCTGGGACTCAAACATGTTTATGTAGGTTCAATAATCCTCAATTGAATACTGTATAATATTTTTTTAAGCATTCTTTGTGATGAATCCTTCTTTGTAATGATTTGGTATGAATTGTACTGTCAGCTTCTCTGACAGTTGTCACCCAGTGGAAATGCACGTTGTTAAGCCTACAGGTGCTTAAAGGAGGGAGAAAGAAAGCATTTTCTTCACAGGACGTAGTTCTTGAAGGAACAGTTTGCCTGGACAAATGAACGTTTTTAATTTTATTTCAAATATAATACTTTAACAAAGACAAATATTGATTTTTTTTTTTACATTTTAGTCTTTGTTCTTCACCACAGGCAGAATCTAGTTATTGGACATTTAGTTGTCTTTTGTATTCTCTAAGTAGTTTAGCGATTACAATCTAGCCCCATCCATCTGCAAACCGCTTATCCTGCACACAGGGTCGCGGGGGGTCTGGAGTCTATCCCAGCTAACTTCGGCCGTTAGACAGGGTTCACCTTGGACTGGTCGCCAGACAATCGCAGACAATCTAGCCCCATTGGCATTAAAAATCTAGTCAAGGAAAGGAACATCTCTCTCTCTCTGAAGTAAGAAATGTTTCCTGCCCTCCAAGGAATTGATCAGGGTGTGCAGTAGCCGTTGTGAGCTGAAACTATTTCTTGTTGGTGAAAAGAGCATCATTTGTGTTGTTAAATCTATATTTGAACATGAGATATAACACAAAAGAACATCTCATGGATTTCAGAAAAATGTAATGCTTACCCAGCCAGGAATCATCATATATTATTGAATGCATAAAGATGAAAAAAATTGACGAATTGAAAAAGCGTGCTCGATTGTGGAGTAACAATATGATTTTATTTTCTCATAAATAACTAAATATGGACAAAGTTGGAAAACTATACTCAGTAATCCTATTTCACATGAAATAAATGTCTTTCCAATTTGAAGAAAATACAGACTGATACCGTATGGTTGTGCAGCTTAATTGGACGCAGCGCAATCAAAACATACATCATCTTGCTTTTCAACTGTGACACTTGATGTTTGCTTTCAGGAACCAGGAGAAGTTATGCTGACACCGACGCCTTTACACTCACTGTCTCAAAAAAAAACCTTCAGCTACCAACAATGATCACACAGACCCATCTTGTCCCAGGCAAACAAATCCAGTTCCTCCATTTCCCAGAACTGATTCCTGTAGAAGCGCTGCGAAAAGATGAAATGCGCCATATGCAGCAAAGGAAAGCACAGCGAGTTTGTTTGAGACGTGTGTATAAGGAGGAAGGGAAAGTCTCCTGCACTCCTTTTATTGTTTCACAGTTTCTTTTCCGCTCTCTCACACTCATGTTTTCATGCACACAGATATGCAAACCTGCTGCACACAGCGCATGTACGGCACCAATTACACACACAAATGTGCGTGCGCGCACACACACACACACACACACACACACACACACACACACACACAGACACCATTATCCTAGTACCTTGAGAGCTGCAAGTGAGTGTGACTGGAAAACATTTACAACATGATAAAAATTCCTACTGCGTGGCATATTATTGGGCAGCCCTTTTATCGGGAGTGTTGAGCTTCCCCCTGGGTCTCCTCTGCCAGTGTCTCGTCGCCTTTGGGAGGGTCCTCTGGTCCCCGGCTGCAGCAGCAAACAAAATGAGCTCTCTGAAGTTCGTGTACCATGAATTTCTCTCCATCTTCCAGCTCCGCACCGTCCTGCATCTCCCACCTGGAAAACAAAGTGAGACAAAACGTAAGCTAAAAGTTGATGTGTGAAGACGTGGTTCCCTGCATCATCCCCTCTAGCTGTGTATCACGCAGTAAAAAGAGAGAACCCACATGAATGCTACTCGGCTTCTGGGCGTTTGGAGTTTGGAGTAACACGTTGCACAAAAAAATGTGTTTGACTCTTTCTCTCCGAGGCTTCAATGGGCACACTTTCACTCTTTAACTTGTAACATTGGAGTCTTCTCTGCTTTCTTCTCTCATGCTGTGTGAGGCAGTATTACAGGAGGCACTGCCGATGTGATACACAAACTACTAAAGTCATTAGAGGATTTAACTGAGTAATTGTAAAGGAAAAGAATCTGTTTTTACCTTTTTTTTTCAATCATATGCATAAGTTTACAACGGTTGAACCAACCCTGTCCAGCTTTAAAATGTCTTATATCATGCAATCTTAAACCGTCTTGTTTAACTGCATCTACAGTATATACCGTCACATATTTAAATTGGTCAAGCTCCAAAGTGCATGGAGGGCTTCAATATGAAGACATCAAGGGTAGTCACATTGTAATTCCCTCTGAGCATTTTGATGGAGTCTCTTGCGAATGACTATGGTCAATCAAATCCATATGGAGCGCCGGCTGAAAGCTGTCTTTGAGCTGCCGCATTACGCTCCCTCCTGAAGAATTATCTCCGACTGTCCAACTGCAAATGATTGCATTTTCATTGCAATCTTGGCGTCTCCTTTTATCCCACCCTCCCTCACTGTATCTTCAAACATGAACCATATAGTTTGTGTGTGTGCGTCTGTGTGCGTGTGGTTGTGTAAGGCGTAAGTGTAAGAAGGAAGAGGTGCTAAAACACCAAGTATTTCACGCAAATGTTTCATGCATACTAAGAAGCGGGCCTCACGATGCTCCCACTTTGATGAAATCTCAGCCTCTGTCACAGCGAGCATTCTCTTTCTCTGCTTCCAAACTACTGTGAGTGTAGTAATTACTGTCTGTAAGGGGAGGGTCTGTTATGTAAATATGCAGATGTAAGTATGCAGATTTGACAGTTTTCTTCCATTGCAGAGAACAAGAGTTTTTAGTTTTTTTCCCAGCAACTTTTTGTGTCAGTCTGGATGTCTTTCTTTACATTAATCACAGAGTGGTTGTCTGTCTTAAAAAAGGCAGAAGACAAAGGATCAGTAGTTAACTCAGCCTTTGCGGACTGCGGTACAAAGAATGCTGATGACTACTATGGGCAGACAGATTACCCCTGTATGTTCTTTTCAGTGACATAAAATTAGTATCAGTTCTACTAAATAACCATTATGGGAAACAAACCCTCACGCAAACAAAATAATAAAAATGTCACAAAATGTGCCAAACAAAATCCAGAAGAGAGTGAGGGAGAGCAGACAGCGTAAGGAATGGCGGCCAATAAAAGGAGGAGCGGGAGAGGAAGGAAGACGGGAAGGTACGCTAAAGGTTTTTCAATGTTTAATTTTCAAATAGGATTAAGCAGAATGACATTTAGCTGAAGGTTACAGGCTCAGCATTGTCTTAGCTGATATTGATATGCAGGAGGTGCCCTGCTTGTCACCGGGACAAACACTGTTGATGAATGAGAAGCCTTTCCCCAGGAAGGTGTTAAGTGCAAATTTGAAATGAGAAGGAGCTAGAGAAGGGAGAAAAAAAAAGAAGAAGGAGCAGACACGGACCGAGATTGAATTACCACGATAGTTGCCATGTATCCTGTCACTGGATAATGTTGCCAAAAGTGTAAATTGTTCCATAAAGTGTCGGTTGCATTTTCTTTGAGATTGGTTGATCTTGTGTTGAAAATGAGCTGAGAAATACAGAAGGTGCTTTGCTGTGTGTATCTAATTTCAATAACTTTGACACAACAATGCCTCTTAGAAATGCATAAGCAGGCGAAGGTTGACAACAACTTTACTGTATCCTCATTTTGGCAAGTTTTCCCCCGGAATTTACATCTTAATAAGAGGAGTCTTTCCCTTTAATTCTTATGGGCTCTGCTCATTTCTCATGCATTAATACTGGATCTGCTGACTTGGCGCTTCCTCTGAATACAGAACAGGACACACATATTAAGACTCGGATATTTACAGGATTGATGCCACGGGAGATTGTCTCAGAGCGAGATGAAAAGGCTGGCTCAGAGGTATTTCCCCCTGAACATCAACGTAAGCTGTCCTAATCATGGGACGATGCCGGCACGAGACGGAGAGCATCCATCCTGATTCTCAAATGATAATGACTAGTGATGTTTGACAAATGAAGAGCATAAGTCCTGCTCGGAGCTCGTCTGACGATCAACTTATTTCCTAAATCTTACTCAGAGCGCACCGCAAATGAAACTTTGGTGTTAAACTCGCAGCCAAACAGAGAATAACAAAGACGAGACTTTAAACTCGGATGATGAAAGAAAGGAGGGCAGAATAAAACCAGCAGAGGCACCAGCGTAGATTATGTGAAAGAAAGTGAGTGGGCAGAAAGACAAAGTGCCTGAAACACCTTGAGAGACAGTGGCCAGTGGTTTCCGTTGCAGCTGTCAGCGGGCTGAGTGGTTTCTCTCAGAGTGTCGGGTGTTTGTGGTGCGCCGGGTGCCCGGCCCGCTCCGCCGCTGGGACCGCTGTTTGTTTAAAAGGCTCGCCTGTCAAACAGAGAGCGCCACCGGCAGCCAGACACTCGGCTAAATGACTCTGACGGCAGCCCTAATCAGAGGCTTCGCACATTGCCGCAGGGCCCGGAGGATCCATCATAACCCAAGCCTAAATATTTAAAGTGCTAAACTTTCCAAAGGTCAGGCCTTTCCATGCATGCCAGGGCGACATGTGTCACAGTAACAGCAAGAGGGGGACTGAACAAGAGAACGAGAGAGAGAGAGAGACTATGGTAAAATGCCCTCTATAATTTGCACCCTTGCGAGAACCACTTTCAGCTTTAGACCTTTCGCAGTCGGTTAATTTTGGTAAACGGACAACAGCCTGACTGGTATTTATGTCGGCAACCATCTCATTTGGGGTTAGAACCCAGAATTATAGAGAACAATGAATTACACCTTTTTCTTTTTTGTAAAGAAACCTTTCTCAGCAATTCACAAAGCAGGTCTGCAACTGAGAAGAGAGCCCAAGTAGCTAATATACTCACATTGACCTGACATGTCCCGAGCAGGCAAAAAAAACTTCTAGGCAGCATTGAGTGTACAGTCTTTGACCTGACCACAACACGTTTTAAAAGTTCAAGCAGCTGCTTCCTGCTGCTGTTTGAGAAGAGGTGTGTAATAAGTAAAGCTGAGGTCAGTGGATGGCTTTGGGTAGCTATGGGAAGTCTATCTCATCCCATGTAGAGTGCATGGGAATAAAACATTGCAAGAGACAGCCAAGCACTTCTAAGAAGTGACGTGAGGCATTTTGGGGAATAGTTGTTCAAGTCCCAATTTAGGATACCAATCTTATTGTGCATGAGTGCTTATAATAAAGTAGGAATTTCTTCTTTCGGAAACTCCTGTTGAGTAGAAGGGGCCAGATAGCAGGTATTTGACTTAAGAAACAGAGAAGGAGAAGCCACGTAGGGAAATTGAAAAAAAAAGAAGAAGGAAACAACATATTTAAGCTGTTAGTCGAAAAGGGATATTAAACATTAAAATCCAGTTCACTTGGGTTAACTGACAAGTTCACAATACGGGGCAAGAGGGTCGTCTCTTCTACTCAATTTCCATTGGGGAGCAAACATCCAATTCAATTTAGATATGTGCCTGCGCTAGGCCATGAGCCAGAGGCAGATTGTAACTGACAGCCATTGGACAGCCGGCTAAATTTGAATATTGACAAGACAGGAACTTGACAGAGGGGATTATGCTCTACCTTCTGACTTACTAGCCGCTGCACTGATCCATTCTATTGTCAGATCAATTCAGTGTCACGTCTACAGTAAGTCCGTGCGCTGATGCCACTCAGTATTAGACCCTACCTGAGATGACAAAAAAATGCAATATCAAACATTAACCAGTAGTTTCGCTGCTTCGGTCAATAGAGACATTGGCAAATGCACACACACATACACACACACACACACTCACACACACACACACACAAAAACTTGAGAGGATGATCAAACTGTTAGAACTGTTAACCTTTAACTTCAATTGCTCTAATTTCTCTAACTGTAAAGCTGCCTTTTACAGTGTTTGAAGTGCCCTCTAATCTTCCGATGACATTTTGACCGGATACATAAAAAATACGGGGACCAAATACATCCACAAACATCTGCAGTCTGTGTGTGTGTCTGTTTGTGGGTCAAATCCACAGTCTCATCCATGTCCAACCGGCCTTGTATCCCACCCAGCACACATCCCCCCCCCCCTCATCCTGAGGGCCGTTGAGAGCAGGCGAGTCATGCAACGCCTGATCAAAGGGCCTCGGACAGATCTGGGAAGGCCCTTTGAAAAGACAACCAGCGTTACACAAGTTGAAACGCTTGAACGTGCTTTGGCGCAGACACACAGACGTTGGCGCAGACACAAAGACACCCGGGCTCAGGGTTAAGCAAGATATACCCAAGAGCATGCACAGCGGGACACACAAACACACAACTTCAAACATACTGCGGTTTTAAACTCCATATCCAAGCAATAATAAGTCCAGCACATGAGATGACACAAAGAGCCTTTTCTTTAAATAAACCACTCACACACACACACACACACACACACACACACACACACACACACACACACACACACACACACACACACACACACACACACACACACATTGCTAAAGCTGAGGAGTCCCAACACTGAGGAATGCAGAAGGAGGGTGAACCGATCGGAAATAACGAGTCATACACCTCCAGTGAAAAGCTACACTACACCTGTGCTTTGATGAATGACATGAGTTTACTTTCGTAACATCTCGGTGTTCTGTAAATTTGACTCTGAATGTAGTTTTGTACTCATTGTGTGGTGTGCTGTACACCTGAGGGATTATTT